GTGTAAATACCAAATAGTTTCACTAGTGTGAGAAACTGATAGTGTAAACAAGGGTTAAAATGATTAAAATGAATAATTGATAGTTTGAAATAGGAAAAAGTGTCCAAAGATGAACGGGTGAAGGGAGGGGAAGGGGAAAGGAAAAGAGGGAAAGGAAAAACTATGAGAAAAGAAAAAAATGGAAGTGAAATCTATGTAAATAGGGAAGGGTGGAGGGGGTGAAGGGCGCATAGATAATGGGGAAAATATAAGAACCAAGATATATCATGTACAGGTACAAACACCCAATGATAAATGTAAACGAATTGTATACCTAAAATGTACCAATAAAAGAATTTAGAAAAAAAAAGAAATATACAAAGGACATAGAGTTTTACTGGGTAATTTCATTATTAAGAATGTATCTTTGGAAAATAATCATAAAGTACATGAAGTTAGTGTGCAAGTGTGTGCATTTACATAATCATAAAAACAATATAAATTTCCACCACGGATTTTGTTATTGTAAGTTCATATGACACTGACAGATTATAAAGGTGTCCAGTATCTACATTAGGGGAAAAAACTGTTTGAAACTTATGATAGATTTTATAGTTAAGATATATGCATTATAAAATTTAAGAAATCTGTAAAGAGGAGGAAGAGCAGAGGAAAGGAAACATTCTGGATGTATTCACAGCAATATTTTAATGATGACTGGTATTGTGCAATTACAGTTTTCTTCTTTGTCTTTGCTTTTTGATTTTTTTCTAATAAATATATCAAGAGTTAGATAAAAATAAAAGACTTGGTATAAGGACATTTCCATTCATTAGTCAGACATGAAAAGGAAGATGAGAAAGTTTATTGTTATATAAGACTTTTTGATCGATGGATCTGTTTTGGAAAAAAGTCTATTCTTCTCTTTGTGCATTTGTAATTGTGTTCTTTTTAAATTATAGAATTGTAAGGATTTGTTACACATTCTAGATATAAAGCTTCCTTTTGAAACTATGTTTCTTCAGGCCCTAATATATTCTTTTTTATGGACCATATGTAGAAAAGCTCAAGGGCTTCAAGAAGGAAAAATTGCTGGGGATCTAGCTCAGTGGTTCTACCACCTGCCTCGCAAGCAAAAGGTCCCAAGTTTGATCCCCAGTACAAAAAAAAAAAGTAGAAGAGGAAGGAAAAATCGATTGCTTGTACTTTGGTTTGGAATGAACAAAATAGCACTTGTGATTAGCTGCATGCTTGTATGGGTATGACATGGGAGATATCTATAAGAGGGGACAGGGGCTGGAGACTTTTCTCAGCAGCAACTGCGTTCTTTCCCAGGCAGATCAAGTTGCAGTGCCAGCCTGGGAGGGGCCAATCTGACAGATACACACAAAGCCCTCATCCTGCAACTCACTGCCAGTGAGAACTGCACCTGGACAATAGAAAGACCAGAAAACAAGAGCATCAGAATTATCTTCTCCCACATCCAGTAAGTAGGATCTTCAGCTTCTCAAGAAGAGAATTCTGGCCACAGAATTCAACTGCTGCTAGAGGTGGTAGAGATGGTAGTAATTCCCATGATAATGATAATGATGGTGATGGTGATAACAATGTTTGAGAGTCATTGATGATGATGATGATGATGGTGAGTGGTAGTCACTGCTGATAACTGCATGCCTCCACTGGCTCATGGAGCTCCCATAAGGTCATTATGACACAGAAAGGTTGAAAATGCTGAGGTCACCACAGTGAGTGGAATGATTATGGTTAGTAACCAGCTAGTCTAGTTCCCGATTCTACCTCTGGAAACAATAAACTTGTGGTTCTTAATTACATAACAGTCTCTGGAGATAGGACCCAGGCATCAATATTTTGTACTTAAACATTTTATAAGTGATTTTTATAAGTACCCAGGCAACTCAGTGTGAGGCCAGTCTGAGAACACAGTGCTGTCCTGTAGCTCAGCACTTCTTGAGATCTGTCCTAGGTAATCTTATCAACCATCTTATGAGTTGCATTTTAGTCCCATTAAATAGATAAGAAAGCCTAGGGAAAGCACTTAATGGACCCAAGGTCACAAAGTAATAAGAGTGGGAGTGGGATTCTAGCACTCTGGTTCAATACATAGCTCCTACTCTTATTCTAGCTCAGTGCTCTTACTCAGTAATCAGTACTCAGTACTCCTTATCCCATCTCAAGGCACAGGTTTTTGGGCCCCACCCAGGGTCTCTACTAACTTATTCAGGTGGTGGGGGTTACCTGAGAATTTGCATAGGATATATATTCCCAAATGACATTGATGGTGCTGGTCATTTTGTGAACTTTACCACTAAAGTTGGACTTGGCTGACACTGAAGGAAACAAAACAGAAGAGGGCTTTTAAACTTCCTGAAATGCTAGAGCTATAAAAAAATACACATTATTTTTGATATATAAAGAGAACAGAAAAGTGGGAAGAACAAACGCAGGTGAAAATCAACATTTAACATTTATTTGACACTTTCTCTGTGGCGGCCCTGTGGTAGGTGCTCTATGTTTGGAATGGTATAAATTTGACAAAAAGTAAAATGTATGCCATGACACTTCCAATTTTTTAGAAGAGAAAACTGAGGTCAAGGAAAGCTAAATAACTTGTCTGATGGTGCATAGCAGGTAAGTGACTAAGGTGGAAAGGGATTTCTCAACCCTTGTAGTATTTGCTCTAAGCCATGCTAGACATATATCCTCTGAGGGAATTTGGGGAGAGCCTGTCAAAATGGGCAGAAAACTGAAATCCTGGGCTGCCCTGCTCACAAGTTGGGACTGGCCATCCTTCAGAATTAGGAGGCAGTGATGTAGGAAGGGACAGGGAAGGAAAGGACAACTAGGGAGATTCTAAGCTTTGCTTTACCCTAAGAGGGGTGGCTGTGGGAGAAGAGTTGTTTTTCCATTCTAATTCAGAGGGTTTTCACTAAAAAGTGTCCTGGACAAGGGGAATAGGAATGAAGGAAATAGGGAGTAGGAACAGAGTCCAGGGTTCTAAGCCCATTTCCACCATTTACTTAATATGAGATGTAGGTAAATCAATTCAGTTTCCTGATCCCATAAATGGTGATGGTGTGTGGTTTGATCCTGAAGATAGTGGGATGATCTTAAGTCTTTGAGAAGTTTAAATAAAAACAGGTGTGCCACTGTTGTATAAATCATCACGCTAATATGAGTAGTTGACTCTGCTCTGAGAACCCACTTTGCTAGTGATTCTTCTGCCTCAAGTATGTTCTGTCTACAGGCTGGATCCAGAGGGAACATGTGAGAGTGAAAACATTAAAGTCTTTGATGGAAGCTCTACCAATGGGCCTCTGCAAGGGGAAATCTGCAGTAAAAATGACTTTGTTCCTGTCTTTGAGTCATCATCCAATACACTGACATTTCAAATCATCACAGACTCTGAAAGTATCCAAAGAAGTGTCTTTATCTTCTATTACTACTTCTCTTCTGGCACCTGTAAGTTGTTATCTACACATCTTTTTTCCCATGCTTCTGCAAATACAGGTTGGACCTTCTTCAGCTGTGGTGTTTTCAGTCTTAGTTTGATCTATCCCCTCAGAGACCTCTCTGCTTGGGAGAGGAGCAGTTCTCCACCTTGACTATGCACAGAATAACCTGGAGAACTTTTAAAATCACGGACTTGGGCCTCATCATGAAGAGTCTGATTCCTTGCTTCTGGGGGAGCCCATGAATGCTGCCTTCTAACTAGCTCCCAGGTGGGGAAGAGGCCTGGGGAAGATCAGATGGTCACAGTAGCACAGTAGCTGACAGTAGGGACCCTACCCTCAGCCTGTTCAGTAATAATGCTGAGACTTTTGAAATGATAATTTAGATCATTGGGCGTGGATCGGGGCTGTGGACTCTTCATGCTTATCAAGTCCCCCAGGTGATTCTGACAAGAAAACTAGGGGGACGTATGTGGAGTTGACTTAATTTTTTTAGACAGTCAGATTTTATACAGTTCTACATTCGCAGTATCTAAATTCCACTTTTACCCATAGCAGAATGCCACGAACTTGAGGGCCTGGATTTGTGGGAAATGTACCTCTCTGGTTTTACTTTCCAAGGCCCAGAAGAGACTGTCTTGATAATCTTCTGCTTAAATCACTGATTTCTTAGTGTCACCAAATTTTTAGAGTGGAGCAGTCAAGATTTCCCTAAGCTAGACCCAGACCATCTTTTCAAACCTGGTGTCTATCCCTTACCTGACACACATCCTATGATTTGGCCAATCTAAACCACTTTGGATCTCCCTAAAAAGAACCTTCAGTATTGCTTGTTCTATCTGTCCTGCTGTTTGCTTATGTACTTAATAGGGCAGAGAAGGATGAAGAACATTTTCATAAAGGGTGCATCTGAGATGAGCTTTGAACAATAGCATAACTAGGGTAGGGTGAGGCAGAAGTAGCAGAAAAGGAGTATATGGTCGAGCTAGCAGCTCCAAGCAGATGTGGGAAGAAAAAAGCAGCTGGGGCAGCAGGTCACTTTCTAGTGGCCATTGAGTCTGGACACATAGGCTGGAGTTAAGGGAGGATGAGACTCCAATTTTGGTTCTAAGAGTGTGACTTTATTTTCTATGACTCAATACAGTGATAGGTTTAGTATTATTCATTTGAAGCAGTATAAAGATTTGCTCTCTGCCTTGTACCAAGGGGCAGAAATTCCACTGATAAAGAAGAATCAAAACCTCAATATGCAGCTCCTGAGAAAGAGATAAAATTACACTCAGGGGAGGACATGTTAAGCTCCATCCACAATGCATGAGTTGAAAGAAGTCTCTCTTTTGACTTACATTCTCGATCACCTTCATATCTCTTTCAGCAATTCCAAACTGTGGTGGTTACCTGAACACTTTGGAAGGATCCTTTACCAGTCCCAATTATCCACAGCCACATCCTGAGCTGGCTTATTGTGTGTGGCATATACAAGTGGAAAATGGTTACAAGATAAGATTAAACTTCAAAGAGATCTTGTAAGTACTGGGGACCACTTCTGTGAGAGCAAATGCAGTGAACCCACCTGGCAACTATGGGAACTTTTCAAGGACTTGACATAGAAGGAAGATACTCAGCAATACTATTGCATTGAACTAGTTGACTATTTTTCCAAAGATTCTGAGGTCCCATCAGGTGACAAAATCCCATGCTTGTCATCATAAACCTGAGAGGCCATTATAAGGAAAAATCCTGAATCTCCTAAGAATGGGATGATAGGCAGTCGTTTTGAATAGGTTTGAAAAGCTTTTTCACCACAGGCTCTTCTTCTTAGCCTAGAAATAGATGACCACTGCAGATTTGACTTTATTGCCATCTATGACGGCTCCTCTACCAAGACCGGCCTGATGGGACAAGTCTGTGGCCGTGTGACACCCACCTTTGAATCTTCTTCAGACTCCTTGACTGTCGTGTTATCTACAGATTATGCCAATTCCTACCGGGGCTTTTCTGCTTCCTATACTTCAATTTATGCAGAAAACATCAATACTAGTAAGTCATATTTTATATTTTTTGGCCATTTTGAGCTCTGTACATAGAAACTGCTCCTTAATTCTTATCCTATTTGTGGTTAACTCTATATGTAAGCTCGTTAAATATATTTGGAAACATAGCCGTAACCCAAGGCTTGCCAGTCATTTCTGTACATTGCTTAATATAAGAAGAAACAAACTATTTTATATACCTGGAAAAGATTTCTGTAGAAAATAGGGACTAGTTTCTTAATACCTTCTGAAAAAACATAAAAATATTAGATTTACAGATTCTAGTCTCAAGATGACAGTGAACACTGTAAAAAGTGCATCAATTTCTTAGCTATCTCAGGCTTCCCACTAACATTGAGGTGCACATGGATTTTTGGCTGTCCATAGATCCACTTGTGCTTGGAGGTCTTTGAGATGCAGAGTTCCTAACCAGCACAAATATGACCGTCCTTTTCCTCCTTTGTTTTCCTGACAGCATCTTTAATTTGTGGCTCTGACAAGATGAGAGTTATCATAAGCCAATCCTATCTAGAGTCATTTAACTATAATGAGGATAACTTACAACTAAATGACCCGACTTGTAGACCGACAGTATCAGATGTTGTGGAATTTGCTATCCCTCTGGATGAATGTGGGACAATCAAAGAGGTAAAGTGAAACCCTGACAGCTGGCCTATCAAATGCCAAATGCATGTTGGTAATGCAGTGAACATAATGACAAACCACGGTCAGCTCTTAGTGGTTGAACATATGACGAACATGTGTAGACATATAAGTGCTCGCAGTCACTCATACAAATGCCAAACTGTTGCATCCATTTTTAGGGTAACTGGAGGGTGTTTTTTTTTTCCCTGCCCAGAAGGTAAAGATCTCTAAAAATGCACGAGAGTTTGAACATCTCTGTGCTGTGGAACACTTGTGCAGAAAATGTTTACATCTCATATTTAGTAAAAGTTGAGCTGAATTTAAAAGTTCTTCTTCCCTTGTAAAGAGAGTTGGTAAAAACATTATCCTTATTTTAAATATGAAAGATTTTATTGTAAGTCTATGATTCATTCTACATGTTTTAGAACTTGGATTCAAGATTTCAGGCATTTTCAACCTGTGGGTCCCCTTAGGATGTATGCTGTAAGCTTTTCACTCAGGATGCTAAGCAACAAGCTAATCAAAAAGGATGAAGGCATTACAAGAGGACTTGATAAAGACAGAAGTAAATCTGTTTTTGTGTGCCAAAATGAACACAGGTTTTACTACACTAGGGAAGACAGTTGAAGGAACCTGACAGAGTTCCTGTCTACGTACACTTGGGAAACTTCTCGGTTAGCTACACTTTGTGCTCCTTATGGAAAGAATATGCTGGAGGATTTAAAGTTTTTATAGGGCTGGGAATTTGCATTCAGAATTGATTTTTATGTAACTGAAAAACTTCTGTTCAATTCTATCTCCAAGCTGTACCTCTCATCTCACACTTTCATGGTTCATGTCCCAGAAGACGTCTTCAATAAAATATTTAAGGCATATAGTACTTTGACACAAAAGCTGTTATCTGGTGATTTAAGAAGATGATGTGTCTGCAAGAGTTATTCACATGTACACTCTAAAATATTGCTGGAGTAAAATTCGAATTCCATCTGGTTCTGCAGGTAGAAGACCTTTCAATTACTTACACCAACATAATAACCTTTATTGCATCTCCGACTTCTGCGGTGATCACCCGTCAGAAACATCTCCAGATTGTTGTGAAGTGTGAAATGGAATATAATTCCACTGTGGAGATAATGTATATAACAGAAGATGATGTCATACAAAATCAAAATGTGCTGGGCAAATACAACACAAGCATGGCTCTTTTTGAGTCCAGTTCGTTTGAAAACCCTATATTGGAGTCACCATATTATGTGGATTTGAACCAAACTCTGTTTGTTCAAGTCAGCCTGCATACCTCAGATCCAGACTTGGTGGTGTATCTCGATGCCTGTATAGCCTCTCCCACACCTGACTTTGCTTCTCCAACATACGACTTAATCAAGGGTGGGTAGGTATCAATGCAATTGGTGTCTGACATTCCTTCCCAGGATTAGTAATAATTTCAATAAAATAATGTTTTTGTACATATATATATATATAATTTTTCCTAGTGCTATTTCCATAGAATTTAATTAAATTTATGTTAATCACTTTAGGAAATGATGTGTACATGTCACAAAATTTTAAGTTGAAACATCTATATAGACACAGCCCACATGTAGAATCATCTTAAGGTCCTATTTTATGTTTTTGATTTTTTTTTTGTACTGAGGATCAAATTCAGGACCTTGCTCTTGCCAGGTAGGTGCTGTGCCTCTGAGCTACATCCCTTGCCCCTATTTTGGTTATTTTTAACAAAAACCTGGGAGATTACTTAATGTGTGTCATCTTTGGAACATAATATCATCAGGAAAATGTACATAGCATTCTTAAAAGTACAAAATTTTTCTTTGAAAGAAAAATTTTCACTTTTTCCTCCTAGAAGCTGATAAATTTTACTAAATCAGCCAGGCTGATGCATTAATAACAAGCATGAGAGAGAGAGTATCTGACTCTCCATACATAGGTGTCAATTTTCTGATTTGTTCACATGGACAGGAATTTTAAAGCTAGAAGAAACCTTACTAGTTCCCGAGGAATAAAGAAAAAATCCAGAGTTTTAGCTCACTGTAGTGTGAGCCACAGATATTGTCTTTCTAGAGAAACTTCTGGATTCACAAATTAAACAGTTTATTGAAAACTTTGTATCATCTCTTCTTATATGGGAAAGATGAACTTCTGTGTATCTTCTGAACATGTTCATGAATTCTGTTCCAGATGTAGTCGAGATGAGACTTGTAAGGTGCATCCCTTATTTGGACACTATGGAAGGTTCCAGTTTAATACTTTTAAATTCTTGAGAAGTCTGAATTCTGTGTATCTGCAGTGTAAGATTTTGATATGTGATAGCGGTGACCAACAGTCTCGCTGTAATCAAGGCTGCGTCACTAGAAAGAAACGAGGTATTTCTTCATACAAGTGGAAGACTGATTCTATCATAGGACCCATTCGCCTGAAAAGGAATCGCAGTGCAAATGGAAATTTAGGTAAGAAAAAAAAATATTTCACGATCTAAGAACACTTTCTGGTTTATAGTGCTGCTCAAACTGATTTGTTTTAAAGATGTACACTTCAGAGATTTATAATAAAACTTTTAGTAAATAAGTGGTGACTTTTAAGCACACAGGAAACAATATTTGTTTTCATCAGTTGATAATATGCATTCTGGGTACAGTGTAAACATGATACACAGATGATTCACCAGTGTATTATAGAATTTTTGAGTATACAAGTAATGTCCTCATTTCTAAAAGCAAGTTTCGTTTAGCTTCCTAACTATTTAATATAGAGACCATAGCTAATAACTAAATAAGGGGCAATGAGTTTTAACTCCTAAATAAAACAAAAAAGCCAGCATCTATACAATAGCTTATTTGAAAAAATCATTTTTTTTTCTTTTTGTTGTTGTTTTTGTTTTGTTTTTTTTGTACTGAAGATTGAATCCAGTGCCTTTACACTGAGCTACATTCCCAGCCCTTTTAAAATTTTGAAGCAAGTTCTCATTAAGTCACTAGGTTGCTCAGGATGGGCTTGAACTTGTATTCCTCCTGCCTCAGCCTTCCAGACTGCTAGGATTACATGTATGTGCCACTACCCATGCCCTACTAAAGTTTTTGTTGTTGTTTGTTTTGATTTTTGAGAAAAGATCTTACTTTGTAGTGCAGGCCGGCCTTGAACGGAAACAATCCTCCTGCCTCTGCCTCCCAAGTGCTGGGATTATAGATGTGGGCCACCATGTCTGGCTTCTAAAGTTATTTTTTAAAAACAGAGAATCTACTCTATTGACATAGGACATCCCAGCTCCTTTTTAAAGGCTTGAAACCTGAGGCCAGCTAGGTTGTATGGGAAAGAGGTGATGGTGACTACTCAAGGATAATCCATAAATAGTTTAAGATAAGCCAATGAAATAAAAAGTCTTTTTAAGAATTTATCTTAGGTGTGATTGTGGCATTAAAGAGTTCTATAAGATATCTCTTTATTTATTATTAGTAGTATGGATTATAAAGGAGTGACTCTGGCTTGCAGCAAAACATTTCTTTGGGAAAAACAACAGAGCACCAACAAAAATTAAATTCAGTAACTTTAATAAGCATTAACTAAAAGGCATTCGTGGTGAATTTATGGTATTATAGCATTTGTAGTATAGTATATAGCAAGCATAGTTTCTATAGAAGTTTTTGAAATTAGTTGAAAATTTGTGAATCAAAGTCATTATGGAAATGTCCTATATATTAGATAGTTATTCTTTTCCTGTTTCAAAGGAATAAAATAAAATTGTTTCTTGTTGGCTAAATGTATTTTGACAACTATGGAAAAGAGTGACCATTAATAAATAAATCTGCATTTCCATTTGATTATTATGCTTGAATTTCACATTTTTGTGTTATATCAAGGAATTAAAGCATTTGAAACAAAATTTAACACAAACATAAGTTAATAAAATATTTGATAATGGTTCCTCAATATTGTTTTGGAGTCATGCATTAATTCATGCATAAGATTCAAAGGGTATGTAGAGATATTATAAATGTTACCAACATTTTGTACTGCTAATAAATTTCTGAAAAATTTGTTTCCAGTTATAGGACTTCTGCATCAGACACCTGCAGAAGAAACTCAGAGCCAGCCTTTCAATAGTCTACATCTGTTTTCACTCATGGTCCTTGCTCTGAATGCAGTGATTGTGACCACAATCGCAGTGAGGCATTTTGCAAATCAACTGTCAGGCTACAAATACCAGAAGCTGCAGGGCTATTAACTAATTGATGGAGCCCTAAGCAAGACACATTCTCCCAGATGCTGAAGGAAATGGTACCTCATGGCTACCCAGGATATGAATAAAATAAGAAGGCCCTGAAAAATGATACACAGACTTTTATGTCACTATGTCAGTGTATTTCATTAAAAGATGACTGAATTGAGCAAATATTATGTCCATTAACTCTCATTTTAGGAACTGAAGTCATTACATAAATTACAAGCATCTCTTTTTGTAAACACGAAACATCTTAACCAAACACCAGATGAACAGAAAAAGGTTATTTTTGGTTAAGAAAAGTAGTCTTCAAAGTTTGATGCTTTTATTTTCAAGTGTTAAGTAAACAATGCAAATGTAAAATGCAAACAATAAATGGCAAATATGCTACCTTGGAAATATCAAAAGTTATAATGTCTGAATCTGAAATGTAAAAGAATGCAGTGCAGTTGCTTTGCTTCCCATGTTTCACTGCTGAACTACAGTCTCAGTGTTTCTCACCTTAAGCAGCTCAGAAAAAGTGAAGAACCTGACTATAAAATGAGAGACCTTATACAGATTCTGGATTAATGAAATAAATCCATTTTTCCTCCTATGTATCACGGTGGGGAGGCCCAACTTCTAGGCACAGTCACGTCCTCTTTTAGGTCTCTCAGCATCCTGTAGGCTTCTCTTATGACTCACCACTATTTGCAGTTGTCAATGCTTGTTTGGTTGATGTCTGCCTCCTACATTAGACTAGAAGTTTCCTGAGGCCAGCAACTGTGCCTATGTGGCTCACCATTGGATCATAGAGCCAAGCACAGAGCCTGGCATATAGATAACTCCATGACTGAGCAAGGTACATGTTCAAAAAAAATATCATGTTCTGGGAAAAACATGTGTAATATAGTACTTGATGCATTGAGAATACACAGTTGGAAATATTAGGTAGGGGTCAGGTCACAAGGGGCCCAGTTGGCACCATTAGGGGACTGGTTTGGTTTGTCAGACCCAGAGAACTTGAAGTGAGGAACACATGTGCTGTAGGCAGGGTGTTTGGCTGTCCCATGTTGGAGAGAATGGCCCTGAGACCAGGTGGCTAGATGGGCTGGCCCTGGGTCCTGGTTAGGGTCCCAAGTAGAGTTGAGGGTGGCAGTGATGGGGATAGGAAGTCAGCGACCCTGACAGGAAGTCAATGACCCTGAAGAAACAGTACACCATACCAGAGAGGCCAGGGCCCCTAGTGAGTACTGAGTATGTTCCACAGACACATCCTGGCTGACGAAAAGTTTTTCAAATGCTCCCTTTGGAGGCAGTCACCAGGAAGTGATGATACAGTCTGGCTGTCTGGGACAGGGGCAGGGCCCTGGTCCCTATGGGCATGAGCTGTGGTGTATAGCAGAGCCTGGCAATGCTGAATGGAAAGTCACTTGTTACACAGTAAAAATCTCTCCAACACTCCTTCAGTAGGGCTTGACTTAGAGCCAGGCTAAGAGCCGGGTAGACGCTCAAGACTGAGAAGCCTCTTGGGCCTCTGCTAGAGGAAGAAAGTAAAGAACTTATGAACTGGGTGTGTGCTGACCCCTGGGAAGTGCTACCCTGGGACCTGCTGCATGCTGCTGTCCCAAAACATGCATCACACTCTTGCCCCAACCCCTAGGAGGCTTGTGATTGGCTGCCAGGATGGAGAAGAGCAAATCAGCCAGCTCTTCTGCCAGGAAGTCACTGTGGGGAGGCCAGATGGCTAGGAAGATGCCATCAACTGAAAGCTAACTCCATGCCAATCCCAGAGTTACGCTCTTTAAATGTCACTTATTTAATCCGAGATAGGTCTCACTACTTCCTCTCCATAGAACTCTGTACTTGTTCTTTAGGGCATTTATCATGGCACAGCACATTTATTTGTATACTGTTTGTCTTGCTAGATCTAGACTAGAAACTCCACAAGAGCAGAGATTGGGTCTCTTTGTCCTGTACTGTGGCTCCAACTCCTGCTATACTGCCTGGCACACATTTGGCATGCAGTAATTATCTTCTAAAAACCTGAAGGATCCTCATGGGAACACAGTGAAGTAGGTACTGTTAGTATTCTTGTGGGGCTGTGAAAACTAAGTCATACAGAAGTTGGATTCCCCAAGTCACAGAGCCAGGAAGTGGCACCCAAGATTCAGATTCACAGTGGTTAGCTCAGGGAGGGGCTCATGGCCAAAGCATGGCCAATAACACTCAACCTAGGGGAGAGGAGATGGATCCCTGTACTTTCTGGCCCTTGGCCACTGGGATCTGAGACCAGGGCTTCTGGTGGTCATGGTTCTAGCTCAGTGGAGCAGCTAACCTGAGAGCAAGTTGTCAGAGAGATTGGATGGGGTGAGGAAAGTTGATCTTGGGTTCCTGGATCCAGTCATCTCTTTGTATCCTCTGCAGTTTGAAATGAGAGCAAGTCCTAGTGGAAAGGGAATGACCTAGAACCAGAGCCTTGGTTTCACTTCCAGCTCCACCAGCTCTGTGTGATGGTGCAAATCCCTTGCCATCTCTGGGCTTCAGCTTCTTCAGCTGTAAAATGGGGTAGCAAGGTTGTGACTTGGTGCCTCATATCCAGCAAAGATCAGGAAATGTGAGCTGCCTCTCCTCTTGTGGGTGGCTTTTGGCCACAAGTAATAGAAAACTCATCTAGGATCAATTTAAACAATGAGGGTTTTGGTCACTGTGTGCCCAAAGAAGTTGTGGTAGTACAGGTCCAGGAGTACTACAAGCTCAGCAGTGTCACCAAGGGCCCAGGTTATGCCTATCTTTCAGCTCTGTGGTTCTTAGAGTGACATCCATTTCCTGCAAGGTCTTGAAATGGCTGTCTCAGTTCCAGGCATCTCACAATGTAGGTCTGAGAAGCAAGTGTTTCTTCCTTATGTCCTTATGTCCCTTTGTAAAAGTAAGAAAAATCTTCCCAACAGTCCTCAGGAGACTTCTTCTCAAGTTTCATTAACTAGAATATCATACACCAGCTGGGTGTGGTGGCACATGGTGGCACATGTCTGTAATTCCTGAACTCAGGAGGCTGAGGCAAGAGGATCACTGTGAGTTCAAGGCCAGCCTGCACTACACAGTGAGTTCAAGGCTAGTCCTAACTACATAGTGAGACCCTGTTTCAAAAACAAAACAGAAGAAATGTCTAGCTGGACTTCTGGAAAGATGTAGAGTGGTGAACAGCAGAGAAACACCTTCTCCGAGATTTGGTGTCTAGACACTGGAATATGAAGAAGAGAAGAAGGAAGGAAGTGGGTCTCTGGGACCCAGCAAGAATCTGAAGAGAGAATTGAAGCCCATGGGGAGAGCAAAGAGATAGAACTCAATGCAGAAGAAGGAGGTGGCAAGCAGCACTTTCTCCCTGAGCCCTGACTCACTGTGTGGGAGGGCAACTCGAATCTGCAGATGCATGGTGACCACTGGTGATCTCAGAGACCTCCATGGAGAAGCACACCAAAGGAACAGAGCAGTAGATGCAGCGGATTCCAGTGGCTGGTGTTATTTGAGTTCAAGCATCCCCTAGGAGAGGGGGATTGTCCAGGAGATGTCTTGGAGAGAGGCCAACTGAGCTCAGAACTCAGAGCAGCTGTAGGCTGGCTCTGTCTAGCGGCTCCCAGTTGTTAGGGTGAGGCAGAACCAAGTTCAAGCCATCAGGAGGTCAAGGAGCTGAGTTTTAGCTACCAGGGAGCTGTGTTCAGGTTGGCAGGAAGCACATGGAGTGTTGCAGGCTGAACAAATCAGGTTCTAGCCTCACAGCCAGAACCTAGCTTGAACTTCAGTGGAACTAAAGCTGTAGGCTTGCTGGGATTATCCATTACCCCACCATAAATCTATGGTGGCTTGCTGGAATTCATCAACATGGATCTGGGCTCTATCTCCCTACTCCACTAATAACAGTAGAGACATGGCCTGAAGTGGACTTATTTTTTTTCTTGTTTTTGTTACTTTTTTCTTGATTGTTGTTTTTCTTTTTATGAATGTGAACATTGTCTCTAGTTTTTCTGTTGTTGTTGTTCTGTTCTGTTCTTGTTTTTACTTCTTCCTTCTCTCTTTCCCTCTTGTCTTCGCCAGTTTCCCAAAGTTTGTGTAATCTTCCTTTGTCCTCCAGCCTTGCTTCTAATCTCTTCCTCTTCTATTTCACCCTAATCCTTTCACCTTTTAAATTTTCTCCTCTGAGGGTAAAATTGCCCTACTGAGAGCCTATTTACTGAATACAATTTTCTGTTTTGTTATAGATTTTGTCATATAACCACAAACCTAGTTCATACCATTAAAGGTGTCAAATTAATAGTTACCACAGATTGTCATTTTCTAGGCTGTTTTTGCTGCTACTATTATAGCTGAGTGTACCACTTTAGCCAAGGTGACATAATTGCTCTAATCAGTTGGTCTTCCTGGTATGCAAAAACTGAGATTGCCTGAGGGTCATAAACAATACTATAGGCCTGTGTCAAAGAACCAGGGGCTAGGCTAAATAGGGAGCAACTTCTCATTCCCAATAAATTGAAGAGGTAGGATCTTGCAACAGACTTAAAACCCAAAATTTCAGCTATACCTGAAGACATCTCTAAGAAGTAGTCATTTCCTAACAGTTCTAAATACTAGCAATAAAGCTACCCGTCATAAGCAATTTATAAGCATCAACCCAGGAATTAAACTAAACTAAAAAAAAAAGAAAATGAGAAACACTTAAGCAAGACGCAACTGCAGACATGTTTGAAGCAGCAAATTCTTCTCCTTCTCCTCTTCCTTCTTCCTCCTCTTTTTCCTCTTCCTCTCTCTTTTTCCTGCTCTTCTTCTTCCTCCTCCTTCCTCCTTTTTTCCCTCTTCCTCCTTTTCCTCCTTCTCCTTTCTCTTCTTCATCCTCTTCTTCCTCCTTGTTTCTTTTTTTTTGGTGGTGCTGGGAATTGAATCCAGGGCCTTACCCATGCTAGGCAAGTGCTCTATTCAGCTACACCCTCGGCTCTCGTGACCTTTAAATGAAATAATACTAATTACTGATTACTTACTCTGAACTGATGGATGGACTGATTGATTGCAGTGCTGGGGATTGAACCCAGGTGCTCAATCACTGGGCTGGTACTGTACCAGCCCTTTTCAATTTTATTTTTAAAATTTATTTTGATACAAGTTCTTGCTAAATTGTCCAGGCTGACCTCAAACTTGTGATCCTCCTGCTTCAGTCTCCCAAGTATCTAGAATTATAGGTGTATGCCCTCACTCCTGGATTCAGGGTCTCTGTGGAAAGACTTGGCATATCCAGTT